CTAGAGATGATAAATATTGGTATTTATGGACACATGCAGTCTCCACTTTCTGCTATTTCATTGGTTGGAGACAGAAATGTTAGCTGTGAAGGCCCTCCTAAGGAAACAGAAGACATCCTAAAGTACAGACAACCTCTTTGCTTTTGCTACTTTGAACCCAAAGGTTTGTTTATTATAAACAAAGAAGGGACTGGAAATCAATACTGTGGGTCCTCTGCAGAGTTGTGCTTCTTTTAATCTTTAATCTATCTGTGTGAAGAAGTCCTCTGCCTTGTTGGAAAGGTCACATTTTTCTTTTAGTCTTTGCTCCAACAGCAACACTCTCTTCAGAGGAGGGGTGAGGGTCCTGAGACTGAGAAACAAGCAATTTTCTGTGTTGGAGAAAGCTGAACTCAGAAGCTTTAGAGGACTCACCCAGGCTATAGAAGAAGCATATGACAGACTAGCTTCAGAGAAGATCCCAGACCTGTCCCTAACCTGCAAGCTGTGCAGTTTCAGCTGTGCTGTCCCCTGACTCACAGCCTGTGCTGATGTGGGCTCTGCAGGGAGGCAGCTGCTGTGGATCCATCCCAGCTCCTGTAAGTAACTCTTCTCTTATTAGCGACCCCAAAGAAAACCTGGTGGATCCCAAGTACCTTTGTGCAGTTGGTAATTTGGTCTGTCATAAGTTCCCTTTGTGGGGTGAGGGTGTGTGTGTGTGTGTGTGTGTGTGTGTGTGTGTGTGTGTGTCACACATTCCCCCAGGTAAAGTCTCTGGTACAACACCAGTTTTCACAATTCCCAGTTGGTTTGTGAGATCATGTCTTGGTTTGATCCAGCAGACAGGGTGGAATAGTGGAATAGTGGGGCAGGGTTTGTCTGTTGTCATCCTGTGTGCTCTGTAGAAATGTAGGGAAGGACAAACTTTACAAAGACAAGCACTGATCAGGGCAGCAGTCTGGAGTGAAGGTGCAGAGCTCAGGAAGGGACCTGAAGAGATGGTCCTGTGTGCTGGTTTGAAGAATGGTCCTCATGTACTTGAATGCTAAGTCATCAGGGGTTGGCATTACATAGAAGGATTTGGAGGTGCATCCTGTTTGGGGTACTTCCTTGTTGGAGGAAGTGAATCACTGGTGGATGGGCTTTGAGATTTCCGGAGCCCTATCCAAGCCCAGTGGCTCTCTTCTGTGCCTTTGGGTCCTGATGTAGAACTCTCAGGTCCTTCTCCAGCACCACGTCTGCAGCATGCTGTCAGACTCCCTGCTATGATGGCAATGGACTAAACGTCTGAAACTGTAAGCAAGGCCCAATCAGATACTTTATAAGAATTGCCATGGTTATGTGGTCTCTACACAGAACACTAATAAAAGCAGCTTCTATCTCTGCTGTTCTTTGGGGATGACATGTGCTTTTGTGTCTCAGGTTGCTTAGTTGGGTCTTTCTTTACCCTTCCTTCTTCTTGTAAGGTCTTACATTCTGCAGTTCCTTAGACTTTGCCCTTAATCTGCCTTTATGAGTCTAACTTCACCAGAAACTCTTTTTAGAGAACAGGCCCAGTGATAGAGTCCCCAGTGAGGACTTGGTCACAGGGTCCATGATTGAACTATGTGTTGCACACCATCAACTCTCAAGTTACTTCTGTAGCTCACCCTCTGTGGCATACACAGCTGGTCTTCTAAGCTCTGGCTGGCTTCACTTCTGCTGCTGCTGTTCTTGTGGGTCATCCCATGGTACTGGTTATCTCCAAAATGCGGGGATCTTCTGCTGCAACTACAGTTTCACTAGTATCCTATCCTGGGCTCTCTCCATGTGAGTCCAGTCCTGCTACACAGTGCCTAGCCCACATGACACCTTCACACCTTTAGAACTAGCACAACCTGGGTGGTTCTTACACTATCAACTTCCACTGCCAACACAAGGTACAATCTTGGCCGTGTCTGGAACACAGCCTGTGTGTGTGTGCTTACTCTCAGGGAACACTTTCCAGAAGACCTCACCTCTAAGATGCCGGTCTCTTGTAGTCACTGCGAATTTCTCAACTCCAGGTGGTCAGCATTGAGTATCCCAGCAAAGCAAAGGACTCACTTAACTTATTCTGGTACCTTGTTATCACTGCTGATTTTTTGATCACAGCTATCCAGAATCATTGATTTTTAATTCAAATTCCCCAGTAGAGTTGACTGTTGTGGGAATTCATTCCACCAATGTATTTGGTGGTCTTAGGTCCTTAGGGCTTGACTTCTTAATAGGAGACTGACAGAGGTTGTGTGCTCTCTTGTGTTGAGAAGACCAGATCAGGCAGCTTGAAGCAGTGTGTGGCTTGTTCCCAGATCTCTTGGCTGAATGGAAGGACTTTCCAACTGGATGTAACTTGTCCTGAATCTGTGAGTCTGTTTCCCTATCACACTCTTTAATAAATTGATAAATATATCTATAAATTTGTGGTTCTCATAACAACCTGCTTTCCCAGACTTCCCATCCAGGCCTCCATTGTCTGCAATGCTCTCAACACTTGATGACTTTCCAGACCAAAGTTCCAAATCCCTTCGACATTCCTCTCCAAAACCCTGTCCATGCCTGTCACAGGAATACCACACTATCTAGTACCAACTCTTCTTCTTTAGGGTTACTATTGTTGTGAAGAAACATCATGACCAAAGGAACCTGGGGGAAGAAAGCGTTTATTTGGTTTCCATTTCCAACTTACTGTTTATCAGTTGAAAGAAGTCAGGACAGGACTCAAACAGGGAAGGAATCTGGAGGCAGGAGCTGATGCAGAGGCCATGGCTGGGTGCTGCTTACTGGCTTGTTTCTCATGGCTTGCTCAGCCTGCTTTCTTATAGAAAAGGACTATTACCATGGGATTGGCAATCTGCCATTGATCAGTAACTAAGAAAATATCCTACAGGCTTGCCTACAGCCTGATTTGATAGAAGTATTTTTAAATTGAGGTTTCCCCTTTGGCTACGTCAAATTGCTATAAAACTATCCAGCACATATCTTACATTTACCACTTTTATTTATATTCCCATATTACCAGGCATCTTTGTTAGGAGGTCCTGTGAGTCCTTCTAACCAAGCTTCAATAGGACATCGCTACAAATGATGACTTAACTGGCCATTACAGTGCATAATCATTAAAACAATGTGTTTTTTTTTTCATTCTGAGACATTATTTCCAGTTCCAGGGGATCTGATGCTCTCTTTTGACTTCTGAAAGTACCGGGTACACACAAAACATACACACAGGAAAATACTCACACATAAAAAGTAAAGACTAATCAACCTTGAACAGTGTCCTAGCACATTAATGACACATAGAAACTGTTTCCATATATGTGTAGGAGGTATTTTGGTCATATCAACCCTTCCATTCCTTCTCCTGTCCCAGTCCCACTCTCTAGCTGCTTTCTCATCCCAATTACTCTCCCTCCACTCTTTAAAAATAACTTGGGCCCCATGATTTTATGTGGGGTAATTTATAGATGCAAGGGTGAGGAGTTATTGATAGCAACATGGGCTTCTTAATAGGGGTCACTCCACTGAACAAAATGTCTCTCCCGATACAGCACCATTAACTGTAGATAGATTCTAAGGAGCTCTGGAGACTCATGACTCCTCTCCCTCCTTAAGGTAAGGCTGACAGGTCTGCTCTTGTGCAGGGATCATGCAAGTGCTCAGAGCTGCTGAGAGTTCAGCAGTGCAGCAGCCATGTTATGGCTGGAACACAGGATTCTCTTACATCCGTTCTTCCCCCTCTTGTAAGCAGTTTCCTGACTCTTGGATGTGGGGATGCAAATGTCTGGTTTAGTGACTGCTTTTACCTTCATGCTTATCCTCCTGGGACAACATTTTGGTGGCCTGGCTGGAGAACTCTCTATTAGACTCCATGGGCCTCTCTTTTCTGTGTGGCTTGTAGCAGTTGATGGGACAATTCATGGGCAGCTAAAGGTTTTTGTCTGGAAAGGTTTTGCAGTGAGATCCAACGCTCCAGATTATGAGTCTGAAAGTAATTATCCCTGTACACCAATATAGAAGTCTGCAAGTCATTGCTTAACCTGTACCTAGATGCAGAGGGGTTTGAATGAGAAACTTGGCCTCTCCTCACAGAGACCAACCGTGGCCGTGAGCAGGAGTCAAACAATAAGCCAAGCAAGCACTCCTACTCAGGGACTGAGACAGGTGAAAGGTTCTTGTTTCTGTTGTTTCTTTGTTTCTGTGTTTCTCTCTAGGTGACACGGCAAAACCAAAAAAGATCTGAGAACCCAATAATAGGGCACATGTCTTAAGCCAGGGGTTTTTCATACCAGAGAAAGCACTGGTTGATAGAGAGAGCAGGAAGTGACAGAAACACAGACACCCATATACACACATAGACTGAAGACAACCACTGATGACTACCACACATTCATACACCTGAACAAACAGGGGGAATCCAGTGACATCCCACAGGCTTCTGACACTTAACCAGTGGCCTTGTTGGACCTCTCCCATCCAAAAAGATGTCACTTTAACTAGACTTATCTCTGGAAGTGACAATCTAATTTTGTTTCCTTTTGGGGTGAAAATGTCAGACTTCTCCGAAACCTTAGGCAAAAATTGATCAAAGGGAGCCCTGGAGACCTAGAACTTGGGTTGCACAGCCCCAGGACAATGGTTCTTAATCTTCCCAATGCTGTGACCCTTTAAGACAGTTTCTCATATTGTTTTTGATCTCAAACCATAAAATTATTCTTGATACTTCTTCATAACTGTAATTTTACTACTGGTATGAATCGTTATGTAAATATCTGCTATGCAAGGTATCTGGTATGTGACCACGTTGAAAGGGCCCTTCAACCCCCAAAGGGAGTTGTGACCCACAGGTTGAGGACCACTGCCCTAGGGCTTCTTGATGAACACAATCTTCCCTACTCCAAGGGGTTCTGAGACCTCTGTTGTCTTGAGGTTTTGCTCAGGATTCTCCACAGGAACTTCCAGAAATGTGGGGTATTCACTAGAGAAGACTGCTCAGACATGGATTTAAGTCAGGAGAAACTCTTTATTAGTTGATCATCAACTACACTGGGTGTTTAGGGTCCCAGTGTAGCACTGAGCCTTTCTCAGGTAGAGCTTTTAAGCACAAAAACCATGCTATGGATGGACATACTTCAGTTAACAGAAGAACTGGTAGAAGTGGAAGGACAGAAGCCTAAAGCAAGGTTAATCCATTCAGAGACTTGGATGGACTAGGCCTTTATTTGAGTTGTGGCAGGTAGTGCTTTCTATATGCTGAGTTTTACAGCCTGGATGGAGCTTCCATCATGGAGTCAGGTGTGCCCTGGTACAGTTACCAGTGATTTCTACTAAACAACTGGTCCTCAACTTCTGTTTTCTATGATTAGTTGTTAAAGGTTTCCTTTTGATATCTGAGATATATGATTATTGCCAGTTATATATGCAAGAGTAAAAACTTCACATTCCCACTAAGGAGATCCAATTATCCTGTTTCCTATGCTAGGGATCGATAATAACCACTTCTTTCCAGATCTCTAGTAAAAGTAGTTCTACAATGAGGGCAATTCCCACTAAGGAGCACCAAGAGAAACAGTACAAGGTGATAAGAAAAGATTCTAAGCAATTAGCACAGCATGATAGACCATGAAATGTTGTGTCAGCAGCATCCTGATTCATCTGGTGGAGGCTGATGGAAAGGGAGAGTGGTGGAACCAGAAGAACTCTCATGACTTCTCTGTAGCATCTTCAACCTAAAGCAAGGAAACATGTCTTTTGAAGGGTGAGGAGACATCTGGGTCAGTTCTCTTGGTGCCCTGTATCACCACTCCACAGCCATCCTTACTGAGAGCCATTCAGTTCCCTTCTCCATCACCCCTGGGCTCTCCATCCTGGATCCCCTACTGTCTTCATCCTTTGTTCACTTGTCCCAGGACCCCAGGCCCTACTTTTGACCTGGGAGATCAGAATGAAGTGGTGATTGATGACTAGCTCTGCTTCCTGACTCAGGGCCTGATGGGTGTGACTGTCCCGGTGCAACCAAGTTTATCTAAGCAGTCCAGAAGGTAGTAGACACCAGCAGTAGCTCAGTCTACCGGCCTCCAGTGGGGACACTGCTCTCAGGGATCTGGAGGCTGCTGCTGCTGCTGTTTGATTCACTTCTATTTTTTGTGCATGAGTGTTAGCCTGCATATCTGTGAGGATGCAGAAGCTCTTGCTAGCAGGTGACATGAATTCCAGATCTCTTGCCTCCTTTCTTAATAAGATGCTACAGTTGAGGGACAAGATCTTGACTTCAGGAATTCACTCTTGCTTCTTCACTCCTCACCCATCTGTCCCTCACACCACTCCCAGTCCCGCCCTCAGTACCTGTCATTGCAGATAGTTTAAGAGAAACAGGAGGGCTAAGGTGAACAGCAAGGCAAAGGCATTGGGCTTCATGGTCATGGATGAAGACTGGTCCACATCTGGAGCAATGGTTGGTGAGGCTGATGTGAAAATACCAGCTGTGTCTTTGACCAGAACTGAAATCAAGAGAAAAATCTTGTCATTGCTTCTGGGTATTCAGGTAATTCAGTAACACAGAGATCCACCTCTGTTGCTATGTAATAGCTCTTAGGTGGTTCGTGAGTGGGAAGGGAGAGAGGGCATGTTCCCTCATGCAGCTATGGTAGGCGAAGCAGGGTAATGGTGGGACCGCATCTTTTCTGCTGGCAGGAGAGGAGGCATGAGGATGACCTGTGAGGACAGTGGCAGGAAGAAGAAAGATCAGGTGAGATAAAAGCAACAGTGATTCTAGAATGAGGACAACGCCAGGAAACAAAAGTCTCTACTATGACACAGAGAGTGAACAGTGTGACCACCATTAATGAGACAGGAGAGGCTGAGAGTGGAAAATTGATGGGAAAATGACCATAACTTAAGAAGTCATGGGGATTAGATTATCTCACACACACACACACACACACACACACACACACCTCTTATCTCTACAGAGCTTCTTCCCAGTTACCTGTAGGCTCCAGTTTTTTTTCCAAGTCTAACTTAGGGATTATCTTCTTAAGATAGTCCCTGCAATCCCCCTCTGAGGTCTTGTTTAAGAAGTCTCTTAAATCCTTGTTTTTCTCCAACTTCTCTTTTATCTGCATGGATCCAGGATCAACTTCAGTCCAGTTTCCAGTGCTTCGGTGAAGATCCAGCACTTTCTGTCCATTGAGGTATAAGGCACAGGATGCATTGAAATTTCCATTTGCTTCATGCCAACAGCATTTCTTGACCTGCAGAGAGAAGGGCACTGTGCCCATTGGAAAGGGATCAGCCTCTGGCTTTGATGAATCCTGGCTACCTACCCTCCTCCCTTCCCATCCTCTGACCTTGCTCTATCCTTCACACACATTTTATCCTTGGTGCTGGACCTCTGAGGTGGGAGGGATCACCAGTGATTCATTTCTTATCCTCCATGAAAACAATGAATGTCCCTAGCCCATCACAAGTCCTGTTCTTTCCCTCAGATGCCCATCTGATTGTTCTTTTATTAAATTGCAACAGTGGGGATTGAACCCAGGTCCTCACGTGTGCTAGGCAAGCACTCTATCACTGAGCTTCATACCCAGCACTATGGGGCTGTTTGAAACTCACCTCTGACTGTATCAGTCTCGTGCTTCATGTGAAGTGCTTGGCCAGTGACCAGGTCAATTCCGTCTTTCAGAGTGTTAACCTGTTTTTCCCAGGACTGTATGGCTTTTAGTGTTTCCCCCAGACCACCAATGGCACGGCAGTAGGTATGGTAACATAAAATAAAAGTCTTTTCATCCAGTTGTCCTTGGATTTTGTGGGACAGTCCAGACTCTGAAACGTTAACAGTGTAGGTGTAGCAAAGAGAAGCAGCATCTGTGAAGGAAACATGCAGTGAGGTTAGGGATGCGGAGCAGGGGCTCAGAGACAGTCTCTGCCTGTGGAACAGGAGAGTCCTCTTGAAGGGAGTCTTTATCAGGCGATGAAAGGAGACAGAGACCCACATTGGAGCACCAGACTGAAATCTCAAGGTCCAAATCAGGAGCAGAAGGAGAGAGAGCACGAGCAAGGAACTCAGGACCGCGAGGGGTGCACCCACACACTGAGACAATGGGGATGTTCTATTGGGAACTCACCAAGGCCAGCTGGCCTGGGTCTGAAAAAGCCTGGGTTAAAACCGGTCTCGCTGAACATAGCAGACAATGAGGACTACTGAGACCTCAAGAACAATGGCAATGGGTTTTTGATCCTACTGCACGTATTGGCTTTGTGGGAGCCTAGGCAGTTTGGATGCTCACCTTACTAGACCTGGATGGAAGTGGGTGGTCCTTGGACTTCCCACAGGGCAGAGAACCCTGATTGCTCTTTGGGCTGACGAGGGAGGGGGACTTGACTGGGGGAGGGGGAGGGACAGGGGAGGCCGCGGTGGGGAAGAGACAGAAAGCTTTAATAAATTAAAAAAAAGATTTAAAAAAATGTAGAAACAAGTAAATACAATTTAATCCTGACTGAACTTTCACTATGTTAATTAAAGTATAGTCAGTCATTCTCTCTTGTTTGAAGATGCAGGTCAAGGTCTGTATGACCCCTGCTCTTCAACAGGACAATTCTCTTATCTGTTTTCACATTATCTTGGCGGGCCTTGTCAGTTATAGCAGAAAAATTCAGGATGTCTTTTCTGGATCTGTTCATTCTGTAGAATCTCCAGAAGCTGTTCATGTAGACTGTGTGCAGACAGGATGGTGTGTGAGGCTGGGGGGGGGGGCAGAGTGAGCAGGGTGAGGATGGAACAGAGGTTGCATGGACACCGTTTTTACTGATCTGTACTCTCACATCATAGACTTGAATATCTGTGCTGGTTAGCTCTAACTGCCAGTTTGATCCAGCCTAGAGTCACCTAAGAGGGGAGTGTGCATTGAAGGACTGTTTTGACTGTTCATGCTGTAGGAATGTCTGGCCACCGTGGGCATTACCATTCCCTGGGCACTTGGACTGTTGTTGGATTAGAAATCTAGCTATGCAGGAGTTAGAGAACCAGACAGCAAGCAGCATCTGCTCTTCCTCCATGGTTCCTGCTGTGCCTCTCTGGCCGTGAAGTGAGTTCCTTGTTCATAGATAATGCTGTGTGGAATAGCACGCGAGTCTGCCTTTGAGTACCTGCCCTGACCTCCCTCAGCGACAGACTATGGCTTAGAAGTAGGAGTCAAATAAGTAACTTTCCCTTTTAAGCCGCTTCTGGTACAGTGCTTATCACAGCAACAGAATTAAACCAGAACAACATCTGCCAGATTCCATGGATACTGCAGAGCTCCAGGGAAGGCTTCCTGGACCTGGTCAGAGGCTAGCCCACACTGTAAGACAAAGACAATCTAGGCTGGTTGAATCTGGCAGTAGAAGAGTGGGGATCAACAATCTCAGAGAAGTGCATGTGCCAGAGTGGATGGAACAGCAAACATTTCCAGGGGAAGAGTGCAGAGTCCATGCTGTCTGTGGATGCTGGAGCATCCATGCTGAGAAGCACAGTGAGAAGGACCAGGGAGAAGGGCACCAGCATTGCTGCAAGCTCAGAGATTATGGTGATGATGATGGCTCAAGGCTGGGGTGGGTTCAGAAACTGTATTCCTGAATCCCAGCAAATATGATAAAGAAAAATCCCACCATGTGCACTGGTCAAGAGGCAGTAACATCAAGGACAGTAGTCTCTTTATGACTAGGGGGACCCACCTTGAAGCCTAATGGCTTAAGAGAGTCATGGCTAACAGAACATCAAAATTCTAAATATAGATAAGTGTTTAGCCAACCCACATGTGAATGGATTTTAATAATTAAAAATAGAACAGACAGTCATGAATCTGAAAGCTGCTGTCATGAAAACCCTGACTCCTGTGCCCATTGTTTAAACTGAACCATTGGTGGTGCTGTGGTTGTGGGCACTTGATGGGGGAGAGTCTTCTGTTTTGTGTTAATTTCATTGGTTAAATAGAGACTGCCTTGGCCCTTTAATAGAACAGAAAATTAGGTAGGCGGAGTAGACAGAACAGAATGCTGGGAGAAAGAAGCCGAGTCACTGAGTCGCCATGATTCTCCCACTCCAGACAGATGCAGGTTAAGATCTTCCCTGGTAAGCCACCTCGTGGGCTACACAGATTATTAGAAATGGGTTAGATCATTATGTAAGACCTAGCCAATAAGAGGTTAAAACTAATGGGCCAAGCAGTGTTTTAAATGAATACAGTTTCCTTGTAATTATTTCGGGTATACAGCTAGCTGGGTGGCGGGACACGGCCCAGCCGCTCCTTATTACTACAGGCACTGTCTGCTCTTGCAGAGGATCCACGTTTGGTTCTCAGCAACCACACATGCTGGCTCACCACTGCCTGCAGCTCCAGTTCCAGATCCAACGACCTCTTTTGACCTCTGAGGCCACCAGGCACATATGTGGTGCACATAATACATACATACATGCAGTTAAAACAAATCTAAAAAACAGCTAAAGCTGAACAACCTCCAAGGTTATCTTTCTAGGAGGACCAATCAGATCTCAACAAGAGAGACCTTTTGTCCCCACAACAAGGGCACTCATTTTTTTTTTTTTATTGCTGCATTACTGCCCTGTCACTCAGATACCAACCCCGAGATGCTATTGTGGATGTCTGGTGTGGTTATTTGAATGAACCTGTCTTTTATAGAGTAGGGTGTTTGAATACTTGGTGGCAGTGTTTGGACTGGTTCAGGAGGTGTGGCCTGGCTGAAGGAAGTATGACACTGAGATGTGGCTTTCAAACCCATTCCCCTTTCTTCATCTCTGGACCTTGCTTGATGTTAAAAATGCAGGCTCTCAACTGGTCATGTTATCACAGGGTTCTAATCCCTGCACTTCAGAGGCAGAGCCAGGTGGATCTTTCAGAGTCTGAGGCCAGCCTGTTCTCTGTAGTGATTCTAAGACATTCAATGAGACATTTTCTCAAAAACCAAAACCAATTAATACCAGAACAAGTTGAACTAAAAATATGATTGCTCTAAGTTTGCAGCTCGGCTCACATGCCTGCTGCCATGCTCCCTGCTGTAATAGCGATGGTAGCTGTTGAGTCTCATGGGAACTGAAGTTGAGCCTGCTGGCACAAAGTGGTAATCCTCGCATTTGGTAAACTGGGGGAGAGGAGGGATTTTCGCAATTCTTCTAGTATGGGCTATAGTGTGAAATCCTGCTTAAAACAAAACAACAATAATAAAAATAACTAGGGGAAAAGTATGAACGTGTGTGGTTGTGACTGTCTTGTCCCTGGAAGCATCTATTGCATTCTTCTGGAGAATACCTTAGGAATGTAAGAAAGAAAGTTAAGGACAAAGAGGTCCCAGAATGGTGGAGGGCTTGTGAGGAATCCCAGGAAGGCAGTCTTCAAAGCATAGACAACCTTAGGTCAAGGGGAGCTGTGTGAGACCGCCTCCTGGTGGGGTCTTTAATTGTGCCTAGCACATCTGGTCCAGGTGACTGAATTTCAGGTTTCCTGTGACCACAGTGGTGCTGAGGATGCCACCAGGCATTCCCTCCTGTCACCCAGCACTCTTCATTAACTTGCCTCCTGCACTGTCCTCTGCCCTCACTTTTCTCCTAACTTGTTTAATCTATCAAATCCTAGTGTGGTAGTGCCAGGGAGAAACTGGGCACTGTGGTGGAGAAGAGGAGAAAGAGAAGCCCAGGAGCTTCTAGCTAACCTAGGCATATTGCAAACTTCCTGACTCAGAGCCAGGTTCTGTTCCCCCAGCCACTCTCCACTTAGACCCTGAGAACTCACCAGTCAACTGCTTGGTCCCCAGACAGCTCAGTAGAGCCAACAGTCTCAGCATCTGAAAAAGATTGCTCAGTGAGTTCCGAGGCTTTGCCCTGGTTCCTTCCTGAGACCTGGATACTGACAGATGTGACTGGAGCTGTGGAGAGAATCCAGGAGACCTCAGTACTGCCCTACAGAGGACCCTAGCAGAGATTCCCAAAGGTCCCAGACACCTGGGCTGTGAATTCAGGTCTTTCCATGTTCCAGCCATGCTGGTTCCTAGTTCCAGTCTTTTCCTGCATCTCTTTGGGGATCCATCCTGGGCCCTGGGGCTCAGATCCTCCCTACCAGAGAACCGCGGTCCTTGTGCCCTTAGGTGCATGAAGGGCACCATGTGAACTGAGAGGTAAGGGCACTGTGGTCCTGGACTCTGCACCCTTGGTCCCTTCCTCTCACTCACTGGCAGCTGTGCCCTCTGGGACCATGGGAAACAGAACCAGGAAACTCATCTATGCTTTGGGCTGCTTCTCTGCAGACCTCAGGGAGATGCAGATAAATTTATTTGGGACTGTGTAAGCCCTGTGCGGTGTCCATGCACACAACCACGCCCTGTGGTATTTATTGCTTGGCATTCCTGTCCTCATCAAAGTAGATGCCTCTGAATCACTCTTCTAGCAGTTCCCTCTGCTTCTGCTACAACTTCACACACTGTGAATCTCCCTCAGACCTCCTGCTCCTCCTGACTTCCTCTTTCTCAAGTTTCTCCTCCATCTCAGACTCATCTGCCACTGTAGGTCCCTTTCCTCTCACCCCTCCTGCACCCACATGGTATTTGTCACCTCTCTGCTTGCCACTGTCACCCAACCCTGACTCTCCCTAGTTATCCCCCACCCCCTCCATTTCTTTCCTTTTACTTTTCCCCTAATGTAGACAATTGCTATCTTGTCAGCAAGGCTGAGCTTTTCCCTTAACTCTGTGACATTGGAGCCTAAGACATTTTGGAAAGTTTTGCAATCAAAAAAAAAAAAAAAAACTTCTTACAATTAAAAGCAGCTTCTGGGGTCTGGAGAGAAGACTCAGAGCTCAGAGGGTGAGAGCACCAGCTGCTCTTTGGGGACCCAGGCTGGATCCCCAGCATTCACACAACAGCTCACAACCTGGGGAACTGAGGTTCCAAAGGATTCCATGCAGGCTCCTGGCCTCCATAGGCACTGCACACACACACACACACACACACACACACACAGAGCACAGAGAATCACACACAGACAAAGCACTCATCAGATAAAAATAAATGATTTTTTTTCTGTTTTAGAAGAGGCTTTTACATAGGAAAAGTCCAAATTCTTGGTAGAGAAAATTTAAATTTGTTGTCACTTTTAAGTGTGTTTTTGTAAGTTTAAAAAATTTAAATTTGTTGTCACTTTTAAGTGTGTTTTGTAAGTGTGTTTTGTATGTTTGCAAGAGAATTTAAGACACACAGACACACACACGCGCGCGCTTTGTGTGTTTTATTTCTCATCTGTTTCCCTTGACTTAGAACAATTTTTTTAATCTGTTTTTGTTCCTGGAAACTTTGGGTGATATCAAATGCTTGTTTCTAGAGGTGGCCCCGAGGTGGCAAAGGAGCAGGAGAAAGGATAACCCTGCGTGGGTGGGTAGGTGGGGGTTCCTTGCAATGGGCGCCAGAGGAAGTTGCATAAGGAAAGAGACTCCGGTTTTTTTCGCGCCCCCCCCACCCAAAAAAGAACAAAAATCAGCGGGGAAAGAGGAGAATAAGTAACCTGGACGGTGGCTGCAGGTCAGAGAAGGGAAATAGAATCGACATTTACCTTCGTGTCCCCCGTGGAAGGGTGGGGCAAGAGCCCTGACCCATGCGACCAGGCAGTGCGGCTCAATCTCTTACTCTGGCTATCAGGGAGCACGGGGCGGATAGAATGGACAGACAGACACCTCTGCCTCGCAGGGGCCGGGCGCAGAGCAAGCCGCTGGGTGCGTCAACTTTCTTTCACGTTTGTGCAGTGGGCAGTGCTCGCGGGGTTTGGACCACAGAACTCCTCCCCCGCCTTTTCCACCCTCAGGAAATGATTAAAGTCCCCCCCCCTTCCGCCCGCGTGCCCCTTGGAAGGCCGCTCTCTCAAGTTTGCCTCCTCCTCAGGTCGGGGGGGCTGGCTGGGCGCATGGTGGACACCTCTGCTCCCGCGCTTCCCTAGCCCCACCCCCTGTCGTTCTCCACTTTCCCAGCCTGGCCACCTCCGCCGCCTAAGCAGGGCCCCTAGGATGCGAGCCGGCACCAGACACCAGCTCCTGAGCGCAGAAAAGTGGAAGTTGCGAGCGCGGGGGTGGGGTGGGGTGGGGGTGGGGGGCGAGGCAGACCTGGCTTGATGGCCTTTGCCAAAACGGGCGTCCTAAAACAAGTTTCAGGACTCACGGTCCCCAGACGACCCCCGCCCCTCCCACATGCCCGCTCTAGTCCGTCCGTGCCCATCTTCACCGCTTGCTTGAGCTGCACCTAGAAGAAAGCAACCGCGAAGGCGCGGGTGCCCGGCCTGGCCAGCGCCCTTCTTCGAGCGGGGACGGCAATGCCTGGCCCGCAAAAAAGCCAGGGGAAAAATTCAGGGGAGGCTTTCTTTCTTTTTCTCCCCCCTCTCCCCTTGTGCAACTTTCTCCCAAATCGTGGAAATTGGAGGTGATCTCTAGAAAATTCTCCCACAGTTGGCGGTGGCAGGAAGCGCGGGAAGTGGCTAGCGGGAAGAGCACGGGCAACTCTTGCCTTCAGGTCCTGCCGTGGGTCCGCTGTGCTTATTTGTGAGGGTGCTTGTGCTCAGTGCCAATCGCGGAGTATTCTTATTGCACACACACACACACACACACACACACACACACACACACACACAGGCGTTTTGGGGATTTTTATTTCTCATCTCAGCTTCTCTTAACTTAGAACAAATTTTTAAAAATCTGTTTTTGTTCCTGAGAACTTTGGGTGATATCAAATGCTTGTTTCTAGAGGTGGCCCCGAGGTGGCAAAGGAGCAGGAGAAAGGATAACCATGCGTGGGTGGGTGGGTGGGGGTTCCTTGCAATGGGCGCCAGAGGAAGTTGTATAAGGAAAGAGACTCCGTTTTTTTTTCGCGCCCCCCCCCCACCCAAAAAAGAACAAAAATCAGCGGGGAAAGAGGAGAATAAGTAACCTGGACGGTGGCTGCAGGACAGAGAAGGGAAATAGAATCGACATTTACCTTCGTGTCCCCCGTGGAAGGGTGGGGCAAGAGCCCTGAACCACGCGACCAGGCAGTGCGGCTCACTCTCTTACCCTGGCTATCAGGGAGCATGGACAGACAGACACCTCTGCTTCGCGGGGACCAGGCGCAGAGCAATCCACTGAGCGCGTCAACTTTTTTCGCTTTTGTGAGGCGGGCAGTGCTCGCGGGGTTTGGACCACAGAACTCCTCCCCCGCCTTTTTTTTCTGCCCTCAGGAAACGATTAAAGTCCCCACCCTCCGCGTCAGCGGGTCTCTTTGACCCGTCTGCTCCCGCGCTTCCCCATCCCCAGTCCCTGTCGTCCTCCACTTCCCGCACCCGGCCACCGCCGCCACCTTACCTGGCCAAGTATGCGAGCCGGCACCAGACAGCAGCCTCTGGGCGCAGAAGGGCAGAAGGGCGAGCGCAGAGGTCTCGAGGCGGACCTGCCTGGCTCAATGGTCTCTGCCTAAACGGGCGACCTAACACAAGTTTCAGGACTCACGGTCCCGCGGCCGCCACTCGCCCCTCCCACACGCCCGCCCGCACAGGTCCGCCCCGCCTGAGCTGCACAGGGAAGGACGCGACCGCGAAGGCGCGGGTGCCTAGCCTGGCGGGCGCCCTCCTTCTAGCAGTGACGGCATGCCCGGTCCGCGAAAAAGCGGCGAGGGAAAAAAATATCCAGGGGAGGCTTTCTTTCTTTTACTACTCCCTCTCCCCTTCTGCAACTTTCCCCCAAATGGCAGAAATTGGGGTGAATTCTAGAAAATTCTCCCACAGTTGGCGGCGGGGAGCGCGGGAAGTCGGGAGCGGAAAGAGCAGGGGCAAACTCTTGCCTGCAGGTCCAGCCGGTTGCTGAGTAGCCCTGACCAACAACCCCAATGAGGGTCTCTCTTGTCTGATATTGGGGTTCTGTTAGGTAGTCTCATGGAGGGAGCACCATCAACCCCCATGAGAATGTTCATAGAACTACATAGGTCTAGTTATACACAGATTTATGTTTGTTATAATTTTAGGTAAATAGTTAATAGCATGAACCCTTGTCACCTTTCCAACCCTCCTGCTGTTACTTTACCTCCCTCACTTTCCTCCTCCTGTATTTACCTCCTCTCTTCACTAAGTAGAGGATGCTTTTCCATATTCCCTATCAGCTCAGTTGTATCGATTCTGATTCCCCTTTACTCACATCCCACTTTCTTCTGCAATGCCCTCCCTCTCCCTCCCTACGCACCCCTTTCCCATGTCCCTATCAGATTGTCTAACTGTTAGGTCTCCCTAATCTCACACCCAAGATTCTAGTTCTGCCCACTCCTGATGTGTTACACTTTTTGGGTCCACAGAGTCTGCAGCCCTCTTTTGACATGGACCCTCACTAGATCCTGAGACTCAGTATCTGTCTCATGTTGTATCACGGTGACAATCAAGGGCATCTGGAGTTCCCAGACAAACAAGCCTTTTCAGTCGCCTCCTCACACTAATATGGGGGATTTTATCTACCTTACATCCTCCCACAGGATAAATGTTAGTATTTAGGCATCTGAACTGGCCTGCCCTTAGGGTCCTGACAGGATATGTCCTCAGCTGCAGCCACTGGGAGCACCTTCTGTGCACATTTGCTGTGTTCCCTTGTGAAAGGCGGGCCTTGCCTCCTCCTGTTGATTTCTCTTCTGCCACTCTTGTCTACTTGCCTCTGCTCAGTCTCTGTCCCTTCCCAGCCCCCGTCTTTCCTCCTGTCTCTGTCCCTCTTTTTGCCCCCTCTCTGTCCTCTTCTAATAAACCTTCCTAGTGAGCCCTGATGTATGGGGTGACTACTTCCCACCATTTTCAATTGAATTGTAACCTTGGTTCCCCAAGAATAGGCAGGCCCTGCTAGTGCTTCCTCCAGCCCGCTGGCAGTCAGAGGCACTCCGACACAAGGAACCGGGTCCAAATATGACAGACAGCCTTGCTTCTCCAACCAATGGATCGCTGGGTTCCCCTGTCGAACACTGACATGATTGGTGAGGTTCCCCACTTCTCTACCTCTGGCTATTTCCCACCTGTGAGGATTCTCTCTCAAATGTGTCTTCTTGCTTCTCAGACAAGTCTTGGTACCAGGCAATCCAGGTGTCTCTCAGATGGAACCCTAGCCCCTGCTCTGTGTATCACTACTCACTGAACAGCCTGTGCCTTCTACATCGATCTTGTCTGAATTCCTGGGACATTAGGAATTGCAGACCCTTGGACCTTACTTATTGCCTCACTCATGGGAACTGTGTCATCGTCTGTTTCTCTTAGCTCCCCACTGGGATGTCTCTTGGAAAACCTCAGACTTTTATCCTTAATGACTTCTAAACTCTTCTGCCTCTGTAGCCAGATCTGGCCCAAATGCCCTTTACATATCAATTCAAATGGCCACTTCCCGGCACCCAAAATCCCGAAAATTATTTTTGAGCTTTTATATTTTGTTTATTCTTCATTTAACTTTGAAAACACTACTATAGTTGAATATTAAAAAAAGGACAACAGCCAAGTAGAGGGCATATTATGATTACAGTCCTTCCCACATTCACTACTGCATATAGAGTGACAAACAGTAACTGGCCCATTAAGAGGTCTGACACTGAACGCCACCTCTAGGGTGATGATCATCGTCCTCATATGCTTCTCCATTATAATGACGCCGTCTTTCCTGATTGGATCAAATCCACCACTTCTACCTGATCCATTTCATCAGTCTCTTCTACTTCCTTCCTTTCAGGAAGGAGTTTTTCCAACAAAGAAAGTTTATCGGGAGAGAGAAAGCCATTCTCAGGAAAGTTTATCTTAAACTCAATGATTAGTCGTCCTTTTTCATACCGCCGACAATATATTGGCATACCTTCGTTCAGCACACATTTTATATCTCCATGCTTGACAATCTGATCTGGATGAGAGGTGATGACTATGGTTCGGTTGTCAAGAGTGGATTATTGGCTTTTGGAAGCCGCACAAGGCTTCAACCCGCTGCATGTCCATACACATGAAAAAGTCTTCTCTTCGTCATGTAAAAACAGCATGGTCCTTCAGGTCTAACACAATGATAATGTCTCCTGGCTCCAGTCCTGGCTCTTGGTCTCCTTCACCATGGAAAGTTATCTTCTGACCATCTTTCATGCCTTTATCAATATGAACCTCTACAATCTTCTTCTCTCAAACTATCTTTCTTCCATTGCAGCTTTTACATCTGTCTTTAGGACTGATGCGTTCTCCATGACCCTGGCATTCCATGCACAGTGACTGAATTTGCTGGACCATTCCTGGTCCGATCTGATGAATCCTTATTTGCATGCCAGTCCCACAACAGTTGGGACAGGACTCTACTGCTCCTTTCTTACCACCTCGGCCTTCGTATTTGTCACAGATCACATTCTTCTGCAGAGCCAGTTTTCTTTTTTTAATTAATTAATTTATTTATTAAAAATTTCTGCCTCCTCCCTGCCACCGCCTCCCATTTCCCTCCCCCTCCCCCAATCAAGTCCCCTTCCCTCATCAGCCTGAAGAGCAATCAGTGTTCCCTGCCCTGTGGGAAGTCCAAGGACCACCCACCTCCATCCAGGTCTAGTAAGGTGAGCATCCAAACTGCCTAGGCTCCCACAAAGCCAGTACATGCAGTAGGATCAAAAACCCAGTGCCATTGTTCTTGAGGTCTCAGTAGTCCTCATTGTCTGCTATGTTCAGCAAGACCGGTTTTATCCCATGCTTTTTCAGACCCAGGCCAGCTGGCCTTGGTGAGTTCCCGATAGACCATC